ACGAACACACACACACACTCACACAACAAACACAACAAGAAGCAGCTACAACAACAATGACGCCAACAACTTGTCCATTTTTGGCCGCAAATGCCCCATTAAAAGTTACATTGTAATTCCGAATGCCCTCGCTGTGGCTCTTTCATTCGAGTCAAGCATTTACGAACTGCCCTCGGCCTGCCCCCAACCACTCTGCAGTGGCCAGTGCACTGAAGCAAATATGATGAAAATCGTTGTAGATATTTATTCTGAGAATAAGCATATGATCTGAAATTGTTGACTCAAATAAGAAAATTTATTTGTTTAAGAGATTATCACATGTGAATCGATTTTGTTCTAAAAATTAAGCTAGCTCTCCTTGCTATTTAATGGGAATTTTCACTGTATGTCACTTAAATACAAAGAAAACAAGCTAAGCCATAAAGAGACTAACCATGCAGCACTGCCTCAAACGAATATACTCAAAGCTATGTATTTCAAAATCTTAACTGAAACAAACGTCTATCTAGCTTCCATTTATTTATATATAGATGAATGATTATAGATGAATTGATGATGATTGAAACTTACTAAATAAGATCCATATATTTTAAAGCTTTAATAGAAAGCTAAGCTTAAAATGAAACAGTTGAAACAAAACAAACATAAGCTATAAGCTAACATCATTTAAGTACATTTTGAATAAACGATTAATTTTCATTTGTTTAGCGAAATAGTAGGTACAAGGTATCTGGTTCCATTTGTATCTATACTTCAGCTATAGCCTAAGACTATATAAGAAATTCTATAAAAAATATTTTCTTATATATAATAATGTAATTTTGCTGGCATTGCGTTAGCAGCTGTTCCCTTTACATATATTTCACTTAAAATACATTTAAAACTAAAAATTTAATACTTTCTTTAATATCTACAAAGAGTTCAGAAACATCACTTCAATGAAATATAATTTATAGATATAAATATGAATATATTCATTTATATAACCATCTATATCTATAAGAGCATTTAGTGATTCACCTATGCTTGCAGCAATCATTGTCTGCTTCTTCTGCCTCGACTATGTTCTAGTTGAGTGTCTCGGCATACCGCGTTAACATTGTTAGCTTGAAGTAGCTGCGAGCTGGGGCCATTGTTGTTTTTGGTTCTTAAATCGTTTCGACTGCCTTTTGCATTTCGTGTTTACGCTTTATGGCTTTCTGTCAGGGCTTTTGTGCGGCTGTTTGGCCTTTTTGCTTCAATTCAGCTTCAGTTGCTGCACTTTTTCTTTCAGCACCTTCATGTTCAAGCTGCGCAGCGTTTAATCAATGAGGAAGCAATTAAATTTAATTCAATTTGATTTTGATTTTGATGTGATTTCTATTTAAATTGAGGGCTGAGGGCTGCTTTTATATTTCAAGCTATTTTCTTTCTTCATTTTTGTGGTTGTTTATAAATCAAGTGTAAGTGACATTGAAATTTATTATATTTGTTATTGTTGTTGCTGTTGTTTTCTTTTTTTTTTTGTATTTTAGTGTTTATTGTCTTGCCGCCTGCTTGTCTTGCTCTGTTGCGTGAGAGTTTCGCATGTTCTGCGGCAGTTTAAATAGCTCGAAAAGGCCTAATATATGTAGATATATTTACGTATATATACATAATTCATAATTGTATATATCATTTACGCCTTTGAAATAAAAACATCTTGAATATCAATACCAGGAATATCAATATCTCAAGGAAAGCAAGCTTTAGGACTTATCGAATACAAGTCTTAAGTACCTCAGCGACTTGATGATGCCTAAATCTAAAATATATTTGACATGACTAAATATAATATATAATATACAAATTTTGTAATTCTTATACATTAATGTTAAGAAGAGAACTCAACTGTCAATCGGTTTATGCCATGACAGCCTTACTTCTACAGCATCCTGACACATACACATATGTGTGGAAGAACTCTTCTCTGCCTCTATATCTTTATACCTTCACGGCATCAAATTTGCTTCTCAAGCATTCACAGCTGCCTATAGAGTATCTAGCAGTCGCAACTACTCGCCAACTCCACTAATTGTTTGATGTGTCATTCTGCACAGAACTTGCGCTTCGCATTAGCTTTAGCATAGCTCTAGGCTATGGCAATTCAAAGCCGAGTTCTTTCCCCACACCTGTTCGAGTCCCGTGTTCGAACTCTTTGCGTGTTAAAATGAAATTAATTTGCATTTTTGCCACTTCCGCTAGATATGGCTGCTATATAGCTGACTTATTGGGGTGTACTAAAAGAAGAGGCAGAGAGAGCGAGTGTGTGAGACTGAGATAGCTATGTGAGAGAGTCATAAAAGCTGCGCCAATTAGAACAAATATCTTTTGATTGATGTTGCCTAACGTGGAACATGATTTTCAATTTTGCCAAAGAGAATTAGACTTAGAGACTTAGAGCGGTAGGGTATGGGGTATGAGCGACACCAGCTGGCGAGTCACGCACAAACGGCACTTTTTATGGGAGGGCGGTTGGCAGCGGCCAGAGACATTCACAAAAGCCGCACAAAATCGGACGATGCGTGGCATTAGCTCGTCTTAATGATTCTGTGTGCGTGTGCGTAGCTCTGCTGTGGGGTAGTTGGAGCAGCTTAAAAGTTAATGAACACACGATGCTTTTTGTTACCAGCAACAACAGCAAAAGGCAAGAAAAAACGGCCTTGGCCTTGAGGTCGGTTATTGGCTGTACCGCAACGAACATTAAGCTAAATAATATTTCTTGCTGTAGACAAAACCAAAACAAAAGTTATAGTACGCCGGGCAAGGTATATAATTTAAGAACTAACTGATAACTTCTATTAATTAATTCAATCCAAAAACTGATCTCAGCAAAAAAACTCATTTCTATTTCGATCGTATATCGATTTAAGGCGGATGTACCTGCCCAGCAGCGCGAGAGAAAGAGAGAGGGAGAGAACGCAACTGGGAGTCGTAAAGCGAGAGGGAGAGGGAGAGAGAGACATATACATTCAATGTCCGGCCAGGAAATTCACACGTGAATTGTTTAATTAATGCGCTGACATAAAGTAAGAAAAACAAAATTTCATATACAGTAGCATAGAGTCAGCCAGTGAGTCGCTTGAGTTGGGGGTTTTAGAATAAATGCGCTTAACGGATGTTCATTGTACAAATACATCAGCAGGTTTATGTTGTTTATCAGATACCCTGTAAAGTCACTAACAAAGGCAGTCTACGAAGCTATAGTCTTCACAACACTCAGCCATTTCATCAAATTGTTTGAACTTAGCAGCTGGAAGACCTATAGCCACCAAATTTGGTATACCAACTCTTGTATTATAGTTAAACATCAATATAGGCAAGACTTTAACTACTTCCTTCCATATCTGTCCTCTATTAATACATGGAACTTAGAATCTGAAATAGCTACAGCTGCTTGAGTTGGTTTTCTTTCTTATTTCTTATAAACAAATTTTCCTTTATATAAATCTATTAGAGCACGAGTCTATAAATTTGGTATGTAGACTCTTGCTTATAAATGTATCTTAAATAAAATCCAATTCTTAGCAATTTCTTATTCATTTCTACTACTACATCGAAACTCAATTTATCAATTTATCTTGGTAATAAATTACTACATATTTATTTTGAGCTTTTGATTAGGAATATAAGTTAATATAATCTTAATAATAATAATAATAATTTCCATTGATACTAAGCATCTAATATCTACCTAACATATATTTGGCTCTCTATAGCTCACCCTGTCTATCTCTCTATTACAGTTCTGGTTGCCATTTACAGGGTAGCTGCTACACATTTCCTACACTCCTTCGTCTGCAATTTCTAGCAAAATCATTTGCGCAAATTATAAATCGCATTGGCTTCTAACTGTTACAAGCGCTTTAAGCAGCTTTCCATCAATTTTTCGGCACTCGACCGTGTGTCTTCATTTATTGGCAATTGGAATTCACAATTGTTGCGAATTGCCAATCGGAACGGTAACAAAGACTTAAGTCTTTACCAATTAATCCGACTAGCATAACGGTCGACGTCGCTTCTTCTGGCCTTTCGCGAAGCTGCAATTAAAACAAGGCAAAAGCGCCCCAAACAAAATGTGGCTTTAGCATAGCAGCTTTCAATTGCCTGACAAAGTCTTTAACAGGGCAATGTACAATGGCCATAAAACGTGCGACCATTTACAGTTTAAAAGATGATGTAAACTTTATTGACACCTGTGTCAGATGGGATTCAGCGATTGGGTGAATGTCTGCTTAGTGCTTGTAAACAATGTTGGCGAAATACTTCAGCTACCTACCCAACTTCTAGTGCTGCAAAAGAAGTTCAGCTGCTTAAAGGATTTTGCATTTCAGACTGTGTTATATAGTAAATCAAATTTCTGTCTCTTGCATATATAATATGAAATGTATATAATATTTTAATATATATATATTTATGGATAAAAGTGCATAATTTAAACATTTTTATCATGCTTTCAATAATTGCAAATTTTAAAACAAATTTTGAAACATATTCTCAGGAATACATAGTGCAAAACATTTCCTATATTTTCTCATGCCTGAATATATGGCTGACTTTATTTTATAGCATCTAGTTTCTAGGCATTGATCTCTGATCCAATGCTCAGAACAAACCAAGCAGCATTCGTTTCATATTCTATTGCTAACTTTGTGCCTAAAACTTGTTACATTTTAAGCCAAATTTATTCCACTATATAATGTCAAACCATTCAAACAGGTTTAGATCAGATTTGCATTTGCGTCTTTTCATATTTAATTTTAAATATATGAAATATAAATACAACTTTTAACTATATAAACAATTAATGAAATGAAAATTACTTCATCCTAAAGCATCTGCGCAGCTTCCTCAATCAGCTGAAATATATATAAAAATTAAATTGTTATTAAAATAATAAAATAAGCAAGCTAATTAAAGCGCGCAAATTATTAAATAGCAAACGGCAAAAATAATTGTGGATTTTAATTAAATTTTAATAGAATTGCATATACAACAACGAAAGAGGAAGACACAAGCGATGAGAGCGAGATAGCAGCAGTGAATAAGGAAATCGACGCCAACTGCCAACTCGTTTCATAATTATTGTAATCAAAATCTGGCGAGTGCCATAAAAAACGTCTCTCATTTGAATGCAATTTATGAAATTGAAATCCAATTGCAAATTAAACGACATTCAATGAAAACAAAAATGAAAAGCAATAATATCAATAAAGCGAACGAGTGCGAGAGGAGAGCAGGACACACTCTGTAAAAATACTTTTAAGTTATGTAACAGCCAGAAGAAAGCATTGCCTTAACCATTCAGCAAATATGTTCTTGATCAGCATGCATAGCGGAGTATATCTATTGCACCTGTGAGTTTATCTGTCTCACTAGATGTCTCTTTGCCTGCCTTTTTGTCTGTCTCTCTCTCTGTCTTTCTCTCTGTCTGTCTCTCTGTTTATTTCCCTGTTTGTCTCTCTGTTTGTCTCTCTGTCTGCCTCTCTCCCTTTTTCCCTTTATCTGTCTCTCTCTCAATCATCGCTAATAATTTCAATCTTTCAATATTTTTATAGCCAACAATATTCTAAGTTGCTTTTATGTTCTCATATGTTTTCAAAACTCTTTGAGTTATATAATTTTATATAATGATTAATTTTATATAATCTCGCATCTAATATGATTTATGATATAATAGAGCTATATATGCTATATATATAGGCATATTTTTTCAGTTTGTGCACCTAAGAAGCGAAATGAATTATGTTTTTTGCGTGAACAGGTTAAATCATTAGTCATATTTAACTTTCAACTTGTTTCGTGTGATTCGGAAATCGTGCTTTTTTACCTTTTTATAAATTTCGTTTCCATTTCGGAAGATGCGCTACAGCGAGAACAGCAACAACATCAGCATTCAAACGACTCATTTACTTAGTCAGATTCGAGCTTGAATATCTGAAGCTCGCGCGTCCAAGTCGATTCTGGTAGTTTAAGTTGGGCCTAACCAGTCAGTCAGTAAGTCAGTCAATGAACTGCAAAAATCTGCAGGCCAATTGAAGGCGAACAGCAGCCTGGTCGACTGCGCCAATGCGCTACGAATGAGCGAAATGAATAACGATGAAGCTGGAATGCAGGCATAAAAGGACTATCAGACCTTAGCCCAACCAAGGCGTAGCGTTGCAATCAAATAGAGCCGACTGCACAATGCTCACTTGCAGCTCAAAATATATATAAGTTAACACATAACATTTAATATAGGGTATTTCATAAGTTTATAATCAACCCTCGCTATCGCGTGTTTCGTAAGTTAAGAAACAGCCCTCGCAATTGCGACACTGCATACTTTGTATCAGCGCGCTATAACTGCAATGGTCAGCGGCGGTAACCAGATACTTTTGTTTACTGCAAGAGTTTCCGTTATTGCCTAAGATTGCTGAGTCGGCTTGCCGACCATGACATTGTGGTGTGATGCGAGTTTTGGCTTAGCTTAAGTGAAATATTCTATGTAGCTAAAAATCAGTTTTGCATTGAAGTTTGAAGAATAAACCCGCACTACTCCGGCACACCGCCGTAATCAAATTGTTATATTTCTGATCATTGCTGAGCCACAAGGCCAGTTAATAGAAAAGGGGGTGAAGTCAAACCCTCCAACATAATCATCATAAGAAGATTATAATTACCCGACCAACGCTGGACCTGCCACCGACGCCTAGCTCATCGCTGGACCAGCAACTTATTGATTAAGACTATAAATACCCGATCAACGCTGGACCTGCCACCGACGCCTAGTTCATCGCTGGACCAGCAACATATTAATTGGCGCCCAACGTAAAAAAAAAAAAAAAAAAAAAAAAAAAAAAAAAAAAAAAAAAAAAAAAAAAAAAAATTTTTTTTTTTGGAATTTAAATCATGTAAGTGGATACTCCAGCCAACATTTTTTTTCAAACACAAAATTTCTTAAATTTACTTTATAAAAAATTTGTTAGTACTAGTGAGTATTTCGTATTGCAACAGATTAGATTATAATAATCAGAACCAAGTTTCTGAAATACGTGAGAGTGGCTGCTCTGAGAATTTAGGCTGATAAAAATACTTAGTGTTACTTTCTATGTGTCTAATTCGACCCATCTTTTGACGGCCCGTTTAATTTTTCGCGGCCACTGGCCTGCGCATGCCACGGTTCAGCCAATATAGAAGCCCTCGCGAGCAATCTAGCGACTCAGATTCCGACTGTGACACTCGTATCAGAGTTCCGTCTACAAGACTTATACCGGCAGTTCCTCCACCATCAGATAGAATGGATCCAGATCAGCTTAGGGAAGTAGTAAGAACGGCCATCAGCAATGCCTTAGCCGAACAGGCCGCTGCAAACCAGCAGAGGGAGCAAGCATTGACTCAAAGAATTAATGAGTTAGCTAAACAAATAGCAGCAACAAGCTTTGCCACCCCACAAGTAGTAGCATATTCTGCTATAGAAATTAGAAACGATATTCACTGTGACGAGCCGCTAGATGCCGTCAAGTGCTTACCTGAGTTCGCAGGAGCACAGGAATCTTATGTATCTTGGAGGCAGGCAGCATTAGCCGCTTACGAGATCTTCAGACCACATAATGGCAGTTCTCGTCATTATCAGGCTGTCATCATTATAAGAAGCAAGATTAGGGGCCCCGCAGACGCGGTGCTGGCCTCATTTGGTACTGTACTGAATTTTGATGCGATAATAAATCGCCTAGATTTCACATACAGTGACAAGAGACCAATTCATGTCATTGAACAGGAATTAGGTACCTTGAGGCAAGGTGGCCTGTCCCTGCTTCAATATTACGATGAGGTGGAGAAGAAACTCGCTCTTCTCACTAACAAAGTTAACATGTCATATGAGCCGGCTTTAGCAAAGGGCCTATGTGAAAAATTCCGCGACGATGCGTTGCGTGTGTTCATATCGGGTCTCAAGCGCAGTCTTACAGACGTGCTCTTTGCAGCAAAGCCCAGAGATTTGCCTTCAGCACTAGCTCTCGCACAAGAAGTCGAGTCAAACCATGAAAGGTACGCATTCGCGGCTAACTTCGCAAAAAGTCTAGAAGACAAAGAGCGCAAGCCGCATGCAAAAGCACAGGGTCACCAACAGGAGAGGCATTCGCAACAAGCCGAAACACAAGCTAGCGGTACAAAGAATCCGCACTTTAGCAAGCAAAGCAGGGCCCCAGTGCAGTCTGACCAACGAAGCAGCAGGCAGCACAATAATAATGGCGCACCGGTGCCCATGGAGGTCGATCCTTCCTTCTCAAGGGTCTTGCAGCCCACTCAGGCCCCTGCTTACGCGAATAGGAAGCACCCCGCATCTGACCGCACAAGCGGTCAGAGGAATCAGCAGAGGCTGAATCACGTCACACAAGACGTGGGACAGGGGGCAGAGGCGTATGCTGATGCCGCCTCTAGCGCAGCGGCACAAATCAATGACGATAGTTATGACTCTGAAGCCCTCAATTTTTTAGGAGCAAATCCCTGCTACCCGTCATCAGACGAAGAGTAGCAGGGACTGACATGCGATTCCTCATAGACACGGGCGCGGCCAAGAATTTCATTCGGCCACACGAGGGGTTGAAAGGCGTCCGCTCGGTAGAGTCCCCCTTTAAAATTCATTCCATTCACGGCGAGACACAAATCACACACAAATGCTTTGTTTCAATGTTTGGGTTAAAGGCAACCTTTTTTATTCTGCCGGACTTATCAACTTTTGATGGGATTGTAGGCCTTGACCTGCTAAAGCAGGCAGCTGCTTCGCTTTGTCTAGCTTCAGGACAACTTAAGTGGGGTACGGAGGTCGAACAAATCACCTTCCACACGTGCAAAAATGTAAATTTCACGAATGTAGACTGTGCAGAGGCATCCCCTTTAGCTAGAAGTTCTTTTTTGAAAATGCTAAAAGCTAGACAAAAGGCCTTTGCGGACCCAGACGAGGCGTTGCCGTATAACACATCAGTCGTGGCTACCATTAGGACCACAGATGAGCAACCGATCTATGCCAAGCTTTACCCATATCCAATGGGAGCAGCTGATTTCGTTAACAAAGAAATCAAAGATCTGCTAAAAAATGATATAATTCAAAAGTCCGTCTCTCCCTACAATAACCCAATATGGGTAGTAGACAAGAAGGGTACTGATGAAGCAGGCAATAGGAAAATGAGGTTGGTAATGGACTTTCGTAAACTTAACGAAAGAACCGTGCCTGACAAATACCCTATACCAAATATATCAATGATATTGGGGAATTTGGGAAGAGCCAAATTCTTTTCAACATTAGACCTCAAGTCTGGATATCACCAGATCATACTCGCTGAACGCGACCGTGAAAAAACCGCTTTCTCTGTGAACGGGGGGAAATACGAGTTCAAAAGACTCCCCTTTGGATTAAAGAATGCAGCAAGCATCTTCCAAAGAACCATCGACGACATACTGCGAGAGCAGATTGGCAAATTCTGCTATGTTTATGTCGATGACGTAATCATCTTTTCAGAAGATGAGGAATCCCACATTAAACACGTGGATTGGGTCCTAAAAAGCTTATTTGAAGCAAACATGAGGGTCTCCGTCGAAAAATCACGTTTTTTTAAGAAAAGCGTGAACTTTCTTGGTTTCATAGTCACCAGCACTGGCGCCACGACGGATCCCGAAAAGGTTAGGGCAATACAAGAGTATCCAGAACCTAAAACACTGTTCGAGGTCAGATCATTTCTAGGCCTCGCAAGTTATTACAGATGTTTCATTAGGGACTTCGCCGCTATAGCAAGACCCATCTCGAATATCTTGAAGGGTGAAAATGGAACAGTCAGTAAACATAGGTCCAGAAATATAAAAGTTCAATTCTCTGAAGTGCAGCAAAGGGCGTTTCAGAAATTGCGCGATATTTTGTCATCCGAGAATGTAATGCTTAGGTACCCCGATTTTAAGAAGCCATTCGATCTAACGACCGATGCTTCGGCTCACGGCATAGGTGCAGTTTTGTCACAAGAGGGTCGTCCTATAACAATGATTTCAAGAACATTGAAGGACAGCGAGGTTAACTATGCAACAAA